AAAATCGGGCTTCACATCAGTGACGCACCGCCGATGCGTCGGCGGTGCGGCGCGATCACCCCGCCCCATCCACTCGGACCCCATCTGCGAGGCCGAACGAACTGACGAACGAACGAGTCTGCCGTCGCCGCCAAGCGACCCTACAAGGGCGGCAGGCGCGCCAAACGCGCTGGCCTCCGGGAAGGCCGGGGATCAGGTGTGAAACGTCGAAGACGGTGTATATAGAAACGAATCAACGCCACATGCTTTGAACGTAATCGTCTTCAAAATTCTGCCAAGTCTCAGATATATTTGCCATGTCGCTCCACGAATCCCACCCTTTGTCTTTTGCACAAGAAAAAATGTCATCTTCCCATCGCACAAACCGCCATGGTCGATACCGAACCAGGCATGCTGCTGTTCTCTTTGATTGCTGCGACCACCAATCTGCATTTCTCCACTCGGCTGTCTTTTTCGCCCACCTTTCGGGTGTCATGTTTACTATTTTTCCAGCCCGCCGCCATTTGCTTCTTAAGAACGTTTCTGTCCAGCACTCAACGCCTGCTTTCCAGGCCCTGTCTTCAGCCGTCCGCGTTGCCCTCCTGATCCACGATACATAACCCTCTTCAGGTCGTCTTCCGGGCCCCACCATGCGTCGCAACATCGACCTTTGGACGATCCGGGGCTTTCTTTTTTAGGCTGTTGTCAACTTCCAGGACTCACAACACCATAATACAGTTCTTGTCACCGTTGAATTGAACAAACTCAAACGCTTTGCCATCGAAGCGCCCTTTTTCCTAAGCAGCGTTGACAATCTGTAAAATGTCGCCCATCCGGCTCTTAATCGCGCTTCGAATTCTGTTGATGTGCTTCCATCCAATGTTACTATACTGCCCAGTACTTTGAATCCCTATGTGCAGTTGGCAACTGGATACTCTTCCCACCATAACCTGATCTTCTGCCCGCGCAGAGCGGACTTCCCCACGCATTGCACGCTGCATTTGTCGGCGTGTAGATTCAGCCCAATGTTTGCCAATTCCGCACGGGTGTCTCCCATCATTTGTGCCAGGGCTTGTCTGGAATTTGCCAGTAAGGTAGTGTCGTCGGCGAACATCATGAATGTCAGCCGGCGCTTGCCCAAAAAGTTGCTTCCGACAATGAACCCATATGACTTGGTTTCCTGTTTTTTTTCAGTTTTGCCATTGCGTTCAAGACGGTGTTCGTGAAGAGCGCCGGTGACATTGGATCAGCCTGCCGAACGCCACGCAAAATGTCAAAATACCTGCTGCGAGTTGCTGGGTCCAACTGTACAAATGCTTGCTGCTGCCTATACATGTTTTGGATTGCTCCCAAATCCTCCTCGCTCACCCCCGCCGCCTGCAAACCAGTAAGCGGTGTTGTGTTCAGCGTCTCATTGCACTGCCAGCGGAGTCTGCGTTCGAACGTCGCCGTCGGCGGTCGCCTCTCTACCCGCACCGATAAGGCCTCGGCCCCACGACAGGCCGCACACACCAAGGTGTCCGCGCCCTGAAAACATCGGAAATCATCATCATCATCATCATCATCATCATCATCATCATCATCATCATCATCATCATCATCATCATCATCATCATCATCATCATCATCTCATCATCATCATCATCATCATCATCATCATCATCATCATCATCATCATCGTCTCATCAGCATCATCATCAGTATCACCATCAGCATCATCATCATCAACATCATCATCATCATCATCATCACCATCATCATCAATGTCCTCATCATCACCATCATCATCGTCATCGGCATCATCATCAGCATTATCATCATTATCATCATTACCATCATCATCATCAGCAGCAGCATCATCATCATCGTGGTCATCATCATCATAATCATCATCATCGCAATCGTCATAGTCGTCTTCATCATCATCAGCAACATCATCAGCATCATCAGTATCATTGTCACCAGCATCACCGTCATCACCATCAGAAGCAACATCACCATCATCATTAGCATCATCATCAATGTCCTCATCAGCATAATCATCATCACCATCATCATCGTCATCATCATCATCGCCATCATCATAGTCGTCTTCAATATCATCAGCACCATCATAATCAGCATCATCAGTATCATCATAGTCACCAGCATCATCAGCATCATCACCATCAGCAGCAGCATCACCATCATCAGCATTATCATCATCAGCATCATTAGTATTCGCCTAATCGTCATCATCATCACATCAGCATCAGCAGCATCATCATCATCGTCGTAATCATCATCCCCATCAACATCATCATCAGCAGCTTCATCATCATCACCAGCAGCAGCATCATCATCACCATCATCAATATCAGCATCGTCATCATCATCAGCATCATCAGAATCAGCATCATCATCGTCGTCGCCCTCGACGGCGTGGTTATCGTCACCATCATCATCAATATCAGCATCCGCATCATCATCGTCGTCGTCGTATTCGTTATCATCATCCGCATCGGCATCAACAGCATCATCATCATCATCATCATCATCATCATCATCATCAGGGTCATCATCATCATAATCAGCATAATCGTCGTCGCCAGCATCAGCATCAGCATTATCATCACCCTCGTCATCGTAGTCATCATCATGATCATGGTCATCATCAGCAGCATCGTCATCATCAGCAGCAGCAGAATCATTATCATCATCATCATCATCCTCCTCATCATCATCATCATCGACATGATCATCATCATCAGCATCATCATCATCCTCATCATCATCAGTGTCATCAGCATCAGCATCAGCATCATCATCATCATCATGAGCATCATCATCATCATCATCAGCATCATCATCGTTATGGTCATCATCGTCGTATTCCAGATCACAGCATTATCATCATCACCATCATCAACAACATCATCAGTAGCATCAACTTCACCAGTATCATCGGCATCATCAGCATCATCACCATCAACAGCAACATCACCATCATCATCAGCAGCAGCACCATGACCATCATCAATACTACCATCATCATCATCATCATCATCATCAGCATCATCACCACAACCAGCATGACCATCAGCCTCATCGTCAGCATCATCCCCCTTGCTCCCTCATCTTACATCGTCCTCCATCTCAACCTGCTCATCATCAACATCATCATCAGCCTCCAACCCCTTCTCCTATTCCTCCTCCTCCTCCTGCTCCTGCTCCGCATCATTATCATCATCATCCTCATCATCGTCACCATGATCATCACCATCATCATCATCAGCAGCATCACCATCAGCATCATCACTCCATCCTGACCATCATCATCATCAGCAGCAGCATAATCAGAATCATCATCATCATCATCATCATCATCATCATCAGGGTCATCATCATCATCATCATCATCATCATCATCATCATCATCATCATCATCATCATCATCATCATCATCATCATCATCATCATCATCATCATCACCGTCGCCACCACCACCATCATCAGCAGCAGCATCCTCCCCTGCCCCCTCCTTTTGCATCCTTCTCCTCCTCCTTCTCCATCCCTCCCATTCCCCTCCCATCCTCCTCCCCTCCCCCTGGCCCTCCCACCCAGCCCTCCCTCCCCAACCGGGCCCTGCCCTGCGTCCAGCCTGCCGCTCCACCAGTCGCCGACGCCACGCTCCCGCCCGCCCACTCCACCTCTCGGGTCGGACGAACAGGGTTGGCGGCGCGCACAAGGGGGCAAGGGGAGGGGGAAAGGCTTCTTAGAAGGACTCTGCTTCTTAGAAGGCGCCGGCCCTACATCTATCGACAAGGCCCGCGCCTTCTAAGAAGCAGTGGTGCTTCTACGAAGCCCTCCACCCGCCCCCTGCCCCCCTCTGCGCGTGGCCGAGAAAAGGGGGAGATGGAACGCGGGGGTCAGCGAGTCGGCTCAAGCAAAGGTAAAGGGAACCAGGGACACACAAATAAATACACACAAATCCCAGGATCCCCCAGATTTTCCCATATTTTCAGGGCTTTAGTCTTCGCCCCCCACTTCCCATAGCGTCCCATATTGTCCTGGAGGTCGACGATTCACTCATGGACGTTTTCTTATTCGGCGTTTCGACATTGGGCGGAAGGAGGGTGCAGGGGGGTCTGGCTCCGGACCTCTGCTTAATGCGACCATTTGCAGCAGTGCGTCCTACGGAGGAGGCTCCACCTGCCTAAAACAGGCGCCCAAAACAGTCAAGATCTACTACACGGTGGGACGGGGGGAAGGACGGTGCGAGGGCCCGCGCCGATCGGCAAAACAATGAATAAGAAAACGATCACTTGTGTTAGGTCGGGCGTGTCCCCCTATGGGCGGGCTTTGGACGGAAAAAAAAGAATACCCAGAAAAGACTCAAAAATTGTCCAAAACTACTCAAAAAATCGCCCCCATACGATTTTTTTGCTATTTATGAATATCCCTCCTGTAGAGGGACACGCCCGTCTATGTGTTGTGTCCCCCTGAGGATGGTTTCCCTGGCGCCTCCCCAGCGCCAGCGGCGCAGGCCCATCGAGGGAAGCCCGCCACGCGGCGGGGCCGAAGCCTGCTGCATGCAGCTGGCTCCGTAGGCTCAACTTGCATTGCATGCAGCTGTCTGCATGGCGTTGCATGCATGCAGCTGGCTGGATTGCAGCTGTATTGCATTGCATTGCATGCACTGCAGCTGGACTGCAGCTGGCTTGCAGCTGGCAGCTGGCTGCATTGCATTGCATGCACGCTTGCATGCAGCTGCGCTGCATGCAGCTGGCTGCATTGCATGCAGCTGCTGCTACCCTTCAGCTGGGCACGTCCGTCTACAGGAGGGATGTTCAAACATAGTCAAGAAAATGATGTGGGGACGATCTTGTCGGCTATTTCTTTGGTGAGTTGATTGAATATGTTCGACTGTATCATATACGTCCTCCAGAATCCGCCTGTAGTGAGACATGCCCGACCTAACCCTACCCCCCGTTCGTCCGACCCGAGCCGCGCTCGCGGCCCGTCCTCCCCCCCGCGCGCAC